AGATAGTCCTCAGCGAGTAGAGCACATACAATACCATCAGGAGATCCATACCGTGAGTCGGGCGAAGAGGAAGCGGGAAAATATGACTTGCGGCTGCTGTGGTACGACCAGAAGCTCGATGGTTTGGATAAGGTAAGATACCGACAGAATAAGCAGGGTTCGCCGAGTCCATTTCGAGGTTGCGAATGTTGCGAGACAATCTTTACGAAACTCGGTCTCATAGGCTTCTTGGAGGAATTCCAAGGTGAAGAAGTTCGCCCTGTCGCTGCTCAGATCGATATACTTGACGGCCTGCTTCACAGTAACATCATGACGATCGCTATGATATCTTAGTGCTTCAATGGCCATGTTGATGTCGTAGGATTCGTCGTATTGGGGCGAGCCATCGCTGCAATTCATATCCTCATCAGAGGACGACTCGGCGGGAGAGTCATCCATATCGTTACTAGAGCTTCCCGCCGACCCTCGGCACGACGAAACATACCGCTTAAGACATGCGAGGAGCTTGTCAACACGGGTTGCGAACGTACTGACTGATGAGGCACTAGCACTGGCCTGGAAGTGCCTCTGGAAAGGCTCAATCTTCCCTACTTCTTCCACAGTAGAAGATCGTATAGAGATGGCCGAAGACTTGCTCCTACGTATCCTCGGAGACATCATGCCAGCATCCTTGAGGTGTGGGGATCCGACAACTCGAGAAGCATCGTAAGTTGTCATCATTCCTTTCCCTTTGATGAAGGCCTCGCGCTCCTCAAACGCCAGACTCGAGGAGGATTCCAAGCACATACGTGTGCTCGCCGATAGATGAACACGATTGGGGATCGCAGTGGACTTCATCCGCGATGCAGTGTTAATGGTATCCCCGAATATACAAAACTGCGGCCTCCTCGATCCGACCACTCCAGATATGACCGGGCCAGTATGGATACCGATCTTCATAACCAAGGCCATCGTCGCATTATCAGTCGAGATCGAGACCGACTCCTCAGCATCCGCGGAGACATTCATGTGAGCGGTGTTGTCCAATATATCCAAGCCCAAAAGTACTGCGCGAAAGGCATCCTTCGACACAGCATGATGAGATGAGTCACCATCCGGGTTGAGTCCACTGCAGACAACGTAGGACTCAGAGACCGTTTCGAGCTTAGTCAGAGCGTGAACAAACACCAACTTGTCGATGTTGCTGAACAGCCGATGCATCACCAATATTAGGTGCTTCGGTGCCAGTGCAGCGACCAACTGTGGGAAAGTCGGCACATCGCAGAACAGTACGGTCACGTCTCCACAGCGCCGAGCGAAGGT